TTTTTCTGATGGTGTTTTTGTCCATGGTCTGGGGTTGTCTATTTTCGGGGCGGGGTTTTAATTGCTTCTCATATGCCAAGAATGCTTTGAAAGGATGTATAGTTGAACTTTTTGAATATTCCTAGAATATGAGTATTCCCAGATGCTTCTGCCAGGAGGATTTTTGAGCTGCTTATCTCAGGAAACAAATTTGACATCAGAATCGCCATTCTAGTGACCACCAAGCAATGTAGCACTGGTCAAAGCAACTGCCAGGATTATCAGCTTAAAGAATTGGGCTGTGAATTACAGCTATCTAAGCATATATTTTTATAATCATGTAGTATCATTCTGCGCTTCTTGGCTCTGCTAGTGCAGCTAGCAGCGTTTCAGCATTTTGCCCTAGAGCTTCTTTTCATATAATTATAGTGGTAACGGTAAGAAATGTATACGACTTAATGGACCGAAACATTTCTTATCTATAACAACTATTTCCATACTCCCATTTCCCTTTTCTACTTCGTTTTTCTTCCCTTCTTCATTTTTTCTACTTCATCATTTTCTCTTTATCCTTTAATACATATAGTCCGTTGTGCGTTCTTCATTTCTTATCATCCCCAGATTCTTTTGCGTTAGGTGTTGGCTAAAAAATCTAATTTTCGCAAGACATTTTTTTTCAACCATCGTGAAAATTTGGTACATTAAGTAATCTTTTCCGTTTTGTATTACTCAAGAAAGAATTTGTTTTCATTATTTTATAATAAAAGTGCCAGTTCCTCACATAGTTTCCGACAATATTCACAGTTCATCATGCCTTTTTTGCTCTTCATTTTGTAGCTGGTTTAAATAAGAAATTTTTAATGATAGTGTAACTTTTCAAACTTTCATCGCAAAATTATCGGTATAAGAATTTGTAATATGAAGGGTTTTTTTTCCAGTTGTTTTATTCATTTTTCAAATCGCTCATTGGAAAAGATGTGGTCGTTGAACTCAAAAATGATTTAAGGTAAACTGAAGTTTCTTTTTTTCTGCTTTAATGTTAAATATTAGAATGTAATGTAGTGTCCAAGAATACTGGGAAGAATTGCAAATTGCTGCTTTTGCAGCATAATTGTTTCAGAAATTTTAAAGATACAAACAATGAATATTCCCGGCTAGGCGAATAAAAGAAGAAGGGGGCCTGAAACCTTCTATGGGTTAACATATGCCGTTTTTTTTGGCCCACCGTGGAGAGGAACACAATCGAATTTTGACAGTTAACGAAAAACTCACGATGGTTATCTTCAGAAGCATTAATTTTTTTAGTATTTGCGGTACACTCCATTCAGTGGATCAATATCTGAATATGAAATTAACCGATATCTCAGTGACCGATTCGGAACGACACCCACACATGCTCTCCGTTAAAAATTGCTTCATTCGTGGATCAGTGGTACGATATGTGCAATTGCCAGCTGATCAGGTTGACACACAGTTGCTACAGGATGCAAGCCGACGAGAAGTGATGCAGGCTAAACGATCCTCAACAACAGCAACAACCACAGCGACGACCACGTAGCATACTGAAATAAGATTTGAGGGATCTGTCTGTTTTGTTATGTTTATCGTTTTCAGAACTGTTATGATACCAAAATAGCTTTTTTCTATGCCTCTTGGCAAGTAAAAATAATTGGCCAACGCACGAGCTGCCCATGCGAAGATGCGTTTTTTGCATTGCTCTCCGCAGATTTTTGTCGCTAACGGCACTGGTTTTTCTGGCAGATGCTTCTAGCTAAAAGAATTTCAGATTGGCTACCAGGGCTGTCAAGAAACATCCCTTCAAAATCCCACTCTTCTGGCTTCTCACTTTCCCGAGTTAGCGAATTACCCGGAAGAAACTTTCATGGGCCTATACGTAGGTACCACGCTTACCCGGGGGATGAGTTTGAGTGCATTAATACCTAGTTGGACGGGGAATATTCCCCTAAGATTTCAGCGTCCTAGCTTCCCAGATCCCCGAGTTATGAACTGACCCGAAAAAACTTTTGGTGGGCCCGTACGCGGGTAACACGCTTACCCGGGGGATGAGTTTGAGTACATTAATACCTAGTTGGACGGGGAGCATTCCCCTAAGATTTCAGCGTACTAGCTTCTCAGATCCACGAGTTATGAACTTGCCCAAAAAAACTTTGGCGGGCCCGTACGCGGGTACCACGCGGGTGTTGGCGCCCATGTTGAGAATT